TTTTTAAAGAAGTGATAGGACGGTGGAGTGGTGTGGCTTGCACCTGTAATCCCAGCACCTTGGGAGGCTGAGGCAGGCAGATTACCTGAGCTCGGGAGTTCAAGACCAGTCTGGGCAACATGGTGAAATCCTGTCTCTACAAAAAAATTTAAAAATTAGCAGGGCATGGTCGTGTGTGTCTGTGGTCCCGGCCACTCACTCAGGAGGCTGAGGTGGCAAGATTCCTTGAGCCTAGGAGGTCAAGGCTGTGGTGAGCTGTGGTCAAGCCACTGCACTCCCACCTGGGTGATAGAGCAAACCCCTGTCTCAAAGAAAGAAAATAAAAAAGAAGGGAGATGATTTAAAGCAAAACATACCTCTTACCTTATAATATGATGTGTTTATGATCACAGTGTTTCCCTATGGACAACTGGACGCTGTCACCTCAATACCATGCTGTTATGCCACAGCTACAGTTATTGTAAAGGAAACGTTTCTTTAATTTCTAGGTGATATGGTGGTAGGTGATATTAAAGAAAGCTTTAAGTAATAGAGATGAAAATGAGTAAGTCAGTCATTGCCAGGGGACGTATCTCATTTGCAACTAAGAGCAACTGGTTGTGAAAAGGCTGCTTGAAAGTAGGGCCTCAAGTTGTAACAATGAGTTCCCTGGCCTTTCTGGAAGGAGAGCTGAGGGCACACAGGGCCCTGATTGGCCCCGGGTGACCAGGCTTCCTCATCCATGGCGAGGGATTGGCAGAGTGATGACTTCCGACATGGACGACGCTGATCAGGACCGGGTGGGTGTGATAGAATTCTACAGTAGCTCCGTAGTGTAGATACTTGCTTTGAATAGGATAAATGAATAATTGTTTCTGCTCTGATTCTCAGACCAATGTATGCTGCTATTACACCTGGGCTGGGATTCAGTGTGGTGAAAAGGGCTATAGGACATTGGAAATATATTTGTACTTAAGAAAGTACGTGTCTGGGCATGGCGAATTTCACTCCATCACCCAGGCTGGAGTGCAGTGGCTTACTGCAACCTCCTCCTTACGGGTTCAAGTGAGTCTCCTGCTTCAGGCTTCTGCGGCTGGGTGAGGGGAACAACCCCAGCAGTACTTAAGCTCTCCCAGGGTGCGCCTGCAAATGTGGAGCTGAAGAGTACCAAATGCTGCCAGTAATCCTGGAGTAGCTGGGATTACAGGCATGCGTCACCAGCCCAGCTAATTTTTGTATTTTTAGTAGAGATGGGGTTTCACTGTTTTGGCCAGGCTGGTCTTGAACTCCTGACCTTAAGCAATCTGCCCACCTCGGCCTCCCAAAGTGCTGGGCTTACAGATGTGAGCCACTGCTTCCGGCCACATAAGATCCAATTAACTTTTTTTTTTTTTTTTTTTTTTTTTGGGGTTTTTCTCTTTTTTCCCATGCTGGAGTGCAGTGGTGTGGTCTTGGCTCACTGCAACCTTTGCCTCCCAGGTTTAAGCGATTCTCCTGTCTCAGCCTCCCAAATAGCTGGGATTACAGGTGTATGCCACCAAGGCTGGCTACTTTTTTGTCCTTTAGTAGAGACAGGGTTTTATTATGTTGGCCAGGCTGATCTCGAACTCCTGGCCTCAAGTGATCTGGTCACCTTGACCTCCCAAAGTGCTGGGATTACAGGCATGAGCCACAGCTCCCGGCCTGTTAGTCCCATTTTATAGAAGATGCAGTTGAGAAACTGTGGGAGATCCATTTTCAGGTAGTTATGGGTCAAGATGTCAATCAAGGTCATCCGATGAGAAACTATTTTACCCCTGTCCTTAAGGTAAGAGTAGCGAATCCTGCCAACCACAAAAGCCATAGCAAGTTGCTGCTGCGTTCTTTATAGTGATGGTGTCAGGAATCCTAGATGGAAGCACAGTCACTCTGTGTCAGGTGGCCAGGAGTGAAAATACCCAATGCAGATGTACCAGTTTTAAATACCACACATTCAGAGAAGGTGGCAGAGGTTCTGATCCTGGAGTATTGGCTACTTTGAAAAGTATGTATGGCTTGCCTCTGTTTTTTAGACACCTCAGCCCTGGGCATGAGCTCCCAAGCACAGAGCACGCCCCTCAGCTGCTCAGGATAGGAAACCCTGCTGGACTGGGCACTGCGGTTTGGGCATAGGAAGGTGCCGTGAACAGTCAGTGTCTCCAGAACCTCACTGTGTTTAACTCTACCCTGCAGCATTTCCTTGTTTTTAATTGAACTCGGTTTCTCCTCCCTCTTTTCCGTCTTCAGCCATTGATCTAATGTATGGGGGCATCTACTGCTTTCTGTGTCAGGACTACATCTATGACAAAGACATGGAAATAATCGCCAAGGAGGAGCAGCGGAAGGCTTGGAAAATGCAAGGTGTGGTTCTGCCTCAGTTTACCTCCCTGACCCTGCAATTCCCGCATGTCCACCAAGGGCAGACCCCATAGGAGAAATAGAAGTACCTAGTAGGAAGGTGGCCGCTGGTGGGAAGAGGCCCCCCCACCTTCCCCTAAGGCCCGCAGTGGAGTCAACTGAAGCTGTGCGCTGCAGGGGAGGGGCTAGCTTTGAGACATGCATAGCTCCCCCTGTGCCTGGGACCACTTCCAAGGTGTTACCATGCAGGCCCCCCATGGGCCTGCAGCTGGGTTAGGGGAACAACCCCAGCAGGACTTAAGCTCTCCTGGGGTGCACCTGCAAATGTGGGACTGAACCAGTGTGGTGAGGTCACACCTCTGAGGAACCCGTGACTCCATATCCGGAAATCCCAGACTGGTTTGCCCCCAGCTCTACTGGATTCTAGCAAGTGATCTCTTGTAATGTTATGTGTAAATATACCTGCTTCCTCCCAGGAGGGCAGACTGTTTTCTGAGTGAGTTGTGGTAGAATCTCTTTGAAAACTGTGGACTGTTTGGGTGATATTAAATCCATGTCAGCAGAGTGAACTCAGCAGACGGAAGCGAGGAGAGTCTCCTGCCAGCCCCCCGCCCCGCACAGTCAGATCCTTGCCCTCAGAGCCGCCCTCGTGGCTCTCGCACCAGTGTGGCTTTCGCACTTGCCGTCACCTTTCCGTGCCACACACTCTGGTTATCGGCTGCACCGAGTGAGAGGCGCAGGCGTCATGCAGTCACGTTCTTTGTTACTTATTTATTCTTGGCTTCCCTGACTTTCTTCTCTTTTTTTTTTTTTTTTGGTTTTCACTTCTGACAGAGGCTCATAGTGGTTGCCAGTGACAGGTATGGTTTGCCCTAGTTGACAGGCGAGCTCCTGATCTCTCTGGTAGCAGAGCCATTGCTGTTTGCAAAGGAAATGTATGAACCTCGCGCCATTCTTGCCTTGATTATTCTCCAGTGGAAACACCCCAGTGTTTTGAGAAGGCAAGAATAGCAACAGGCGCTATGTCAGTGAGCAGAATTATTTGTGTTTAACAAGTTTTTTCTGGAGAGCAATCTTTGACTTGTGTTCTCTATTCTTTTCCTTCAGAAATTTAATAACATTGTGACTTAAGTGTGGGAGTGTTGTTTTGTGCAGAGCATTTAAAGCACATGCCTAAGAGATGTATATCCAGGCTTAAAATGGAATTCTTTTAGAGTCATTTCATAATTCCATCTATCCAACATGCTATGTCTTTTTTTTTTTTTTTTTTAAGATGGGGTTTCACCCTGTTGGTCAGGCTGGTCTTGAACTCCTGACCTCAGGTGATCCGCCCAACTTGGCCTCCAAAGTGCTTGGATTACAGGCGTGAGCCACCACGCCTGGCCACGCTGTGTCTTTAAAAGTATTTTGAAGTATTCAGAAATGTTGGCTGGCGTGGAACAAGTACCTCCGAGTGCAAAGGGTTGCGTTTACGCCACTCGGTGAATATTTTGTGCCACAGACGTTTTTAACTGTTGGATCTATTTTAGTTTGGTAACTATGCTGTGTTTATGCTATTTCAGTTTGCTGAAAAGTGCATGTTCTCTCCTTCGATTTCACTTGTTTGCAGGAGAACCCTTCATGTAAGTTCCCATGGTGCTGATACTGCCATCTCTGGGCTGAAGGATGGAAGACATTTGAGAAACAACTGTGCCGGGCGCAGTGGCTCACGCCTGTAATCCCAGCACTTTGGGAGGCTGAGGCGGGCGGATCACCTTAGGTCAGGAGTTCGAGACCAACCTGACCAACATGGAGAAACCCCGTCTCTACTAAAAATACAAAATTAGCTGGGCATTTTGGCGTATGCCTGTAAGCTCAGCTACTGTGGAGGCTGAAGCAATAGAATTGCTTGAACCCGGGAGGCGGAGGTTGCAGTGAGCCAAGATCACACCATTGCACTCCAGCCTGGGCAACGAGCGAAACTTCTGTCTCAGAAAAAACAAACAAACAAAAAACGAACTATTTGGGCATTGGCATTGGAGTAGTCTAGACTGGAGGTGCTGCTTTTCTTTTTGCAGGAAATGTAGCTCACACCCTCTGTGAGAAGCTCCTTTCAGTGTTGTGTGTAGCCCATCAGCACAGGAGGGTTTGAGAAGGCCCCGGTGCTGTGGCTGTCACTCACTGAAACGCACCCTGACAGATACCATAGCACCACAGCTTTTATGTGTAAACACACTTGATGTAAAAACTTCGCTAACAGCACCTGGAACTGTCCTTCATCTGCTCAGGCGCTGGAGAGAAGTTTTCAACCTGGGAACCAACCAAACGGGAGCTTGAACTGCTGAAGCACAATCCGAAAAGGAGAAAGATCACCTCGAACTGCACCATAGGTGGGTTGAGGGCGCGGTCTGCAGTCACGTTGTCACTCAGCTCGGCTTCTTTCCAGGGCTTAAAAGTAAATACAGAATTAGGGGTTTTGTAAGTCCACGTGATTCTGTGGAAACCGTGTGTAACTGTCACTCATCGATGTGCTCAGTGACCAGCTCTTGAGCACCTGTTCCCTGCAGGGACCTGTGGTGGGCTTGGGGCACCGAGCGATGTGTGGCAGTGGCCCCTGCCCTTGCCACATTCTGCGTCTGTTTGCGTAAAGGGACTCAAGTTGATTCTGGCCAGGGTGAGGCTGGGACAGTAATCTTCAGGGAGAGAAATGATGTGTGTGAGTGTAAGTGTTTGCTGAATTTTCTACAAATTGAGGGAAAACCTTTTATAACTTTTTTTTTTTTTTTTTTTTTTTTTTTTTTTTTTTTTTATTTTTTTTTTTTTTTTTGAGACGTGTTCTCACTCTGTTGCCCAGGCTGGAGTGCAGTTTTGCCATCTCACCTCACTGCAGCCTCCGTCTCCTGGGCCCAAGCGATCCTTCCACCTTAGCCTCCCAAGTAGCTGGGATTGCAGGTGCACACCACCATGCTTGGTTAATTTTTGTGTTTTGTGTAGAAACATGGCTTCACAGTGTTGCCCAGGGTGGTCTCAAACTCTTGGGCTCCAGTGATCCTCACGCCTTGGCTTCCCAAAGTGCTGGGATTACAGGTGTGAGCCCCTGCACCTGGCCCTAGAACATTTTTTGAAAGCTGTTTTGTTTGTTTTTAGGTTCCATTCCGACCTGGCCTGTTGTAGAAGCTGTATTTGTGTAATTCTGTGAAAGCACACGTGGCCAAAGTGGGAGGGCGTGATGATGGGGGACATTCTTCAATACCGCTCATGTAAAAGTGGTGTCAAAACGAGGAAAATGCGACATCTTGTTTTCTGGCTTCTTGAATGAGTCAATAAAAGAAAATGAGTATGTAGAGGGAGAGGCAGCCGCTGGGGTCCTGCAGCGCCTGTCGTTCGGCACACAGGTCACCCTTGCTCTCTGGTGATGTCTGTGCAGGTCTGCGTGGCCTGATCAACCTTGGGAACACGTGCTTCATGAACTGCATCGTGCAGGCTCTGACCCACACACCACTTCTGCGGGACTTCTTCCTGTCTGACAGGCACCGCTGTGAGATGCAGAGCCCTAGCTCCTGTCTGGTCTGTGAGATGTCCTCACTGTTTCAGGAGGTGAGTACCACCGACTTCTGCAGGGGAGCATTTCCATTAAAAAAAAAAAAAATGAAATAAGGTAGCCTGTGATAAAGGAAGATACGTGAAGAACCTTTTGTGGTAAGTTAATGTTTAATATACATGTCAGTTATGGAAAACATGGTTTTCCAAAAAAGGAAGACCTGGCATGAGTTTTGGGGACACGCTGCTGACTCAGAACAGAGGAGCTCTTTGGGAGGCACATGGTGGAGTTCCCTGGTGGGTGACATTTGTCTTTAAAGATGGGGGTGATTCTCCCCCTTCCTCTTCCTCCGTGGTCTGCCTTCGTAGCTCAGAAAGGCATGCATGTGCCACCCTCCTGTGTCCTCCTGGAATGTGGGTCTTCGCCGCTCCCAGCCTCTCTAAGATGCCACGTCAGAGCCTCTGTTCTCATGAGCTATGTGCTGCATGTTGGTGGTTCCTGTCCATGTCTGTCCCCAGTCCAACATCAGAGCATGGTAGTGCTCAGGGCGAGGCACATAAGGGCTGCCGCGTCAGCCCCCGCCAGCTCTATGATGTGCTTCTCAGAGCTGAAGCTCAGTTACCTCACCTAAAAACCAGGATGGTGCCTGTCCTTCAGGTGCCTTGCACAGGTGCCAGCCAACAGCCCTGGCCTGTTTCTGTTAGTAACCTCAGCAAGAGACGCAGCCACGCCTGCCTGCTCATGTCTGGTCATTGGCCGCTTTTTTGGGACAGCCGCAGAGTTGAGCAGTTGGACAGAGGCTGTCCTACCTGCAAAGCTGAAACTGTTTACAGCCTGGGCTAGCCTCCTTTCCTTTTTCCTGTCCCCTTCCCACTCCCCGTTCCTTTACCTTTCCCCTTTCCTTTCCTTTCTTTCTCTCTCTCTCTCTCTCTTTTTTTTTTTTTTTTTTTGAAATGGAGTCTCGCTCTGTTGCCCAGGCTGGAGTGCAGTGAGTCTCGGCTCATTGCAACCTCCGCCTTCCGGGTTCAAGTGATTTTTCTGCTTTAGCCCCCCGCCCCGAGTAGCTAGGATTACGGGTACGTACCACCACACCCATCTAACTTTTGTATTTTTAGTAGAGATGGGGTTTCACCATATTGGCCAGCCCAGTCTGGAACTCCTGACCTTGTGATCCACCCTCCTTGGCCTCCCAGTGTGCTGGGATTACAGGTGTGAGCCACTGTACCCAGCCTCTGCCTGGGCCTCGCCAGCCTGTATTCGAGTCTAACCCATTTCCTCTAAGTACCTGCAATGTTCCGTAACTAATGGGGCCACAGCCCAAATAGGAGAAAGGAGGATGCAGCTAGGAAATTGGTGGATGGTTGTGTCACCGGCTTTAGTGATAATCTAACACAACTGTTAGATTGTTTTTCAGACTCAGGTTTGTTAAGGTGTAAATTATAGTCCCCAGACCCTGACAGTTGCCGATCTGTCCTCGGTCCCTTGAGTGTCCTTTAGCGGCACATCATCCGATGGATGCGTGCAGGAAGTAGCCTTTCTGAATCTGGCTGCCCCTGCTTAACTTTCTACGTGGTGGGTTCACCCGTATCTTCGTATGCAGCCATGATGTGTGCTTTTGGTGGCTGCGTCAGCCTCCAGTGTGGAGATGGGCTGTAGTTTAGTTGTCTGTTTCCCAGTTCAGACACATTTGGGTGGTCTGTGGTTTTCGGGCCTTTCTGATGAGGAATAAAACTGCCCTGAATTCTGTATATGCACAGGCAAGACCCCTCTGTGGGTCCTGACCTGATTAAGAAGCCGTGGAATGGACGGTGTGCTGCTGGGTCTGGTGTCCTGAGTTGAGTTGGTGGAGAGGGTTGACTGACAAGCCCTGAGCTAACTGTCATCAGCCTCAGAGCCGGCGAGTCCTGTGGCTGATCCTGGTGAATTCTGCATCATCACAGGATGTGCTTCCCTTTGCGGAGGTGCTGGTGTCCGTGGGCCTGCATGGTTTGGCTGGTGCTTTGAGGAAACTAGGTATTGGGCAAATCGAGTCCCCTTTATTTGCATGTGATCTCACAGTAGCAAGTCATAATTCATCTTTTAGGCTTATATGTGGAAAACTAGATGGTGGAAAGGTAAAAATTCACGTGAGGACTCAAAAAGTCCAATGAGCCCAGACAGAAATGGATTTTGCAAAATGTAGAAAAGTGAAATTCAACCATTTGTGTCAGATAAGCCACAGCCAGTGGTAGGCAGCTGATAAAGGCTTTGATTGTCCTTTGTGTTCAGAGTCTACCTGTATTCCTGACAAGGTTCCCCCCCCTTTTTCCCCCCCGCTGGCAGTTTTACTCTGGACACCGGTCCCCTCACATCCCGTATAAGCTGCTGCACCTGGTGTGGACCCACGCGAGGCACCTGGCAGGCTACGAGCAGCAGGACGCCCACGAGTTCCTCATCGCGGCCCTGGACGTGCTCCACCGACACTGCAAAGGTGGGCCCTGGGCTCTGCACCCTCCACGCCTTTGCGGGGGTCAGGGCAGGATGCTTTCCTTGAAGGGGAAAGAAGCAAAGTGCCAGTGTGCACTCAGGCAAAAGGAGGCATGGGAGACACATTGCATTGTTTTGTAGCCTTTGTCATCATGTTTCCAATAAGAAACACCATAAGTAATGACCTCAGAGAGGCTCCTCCTAATTTACTTTTAGGAGGCGAGGAAGCAGTTGCGGCAGCACGGCAGGTCCTCAGTGGTCCATCACAGTCAACAGCCAGCTCTCGGGGCCCTCCTGGGCCTGTGCTTTGAGGCCCTTGCCTGCCTTGGCGGTTCTGGGATCCTGTGGGTTATCAGGCCTGGGGCTTCTGAACATCCCCCAAACACAACCACCCAATCGTCTCCTTCCCCTGGGGACTCTCCAGAAGGATTGATGGTTGCTCTGAAATGGCCAGAGAGCTGGGACACAGGACGAGTAGAGCTTCTCTTGGTATCTCACTGGACCTGGGCATCTTCCACAGCCTGGCCCCAGGATGGTGCCCTCCCGAGGTTCTCAGAGGTGTATGGTGTTGATAGTTGGTGGGGACGACTGAATGGCCTGAGCCAAGGTCAGCTCCTCCCCTGTAGCTGAAGTCTGTCCACACAGGCAGAGGGACTGAGGGGTGATTCTTAAATGAGTGTGGGCTGGTGACCTGCAGCTTCCTAAAGCCTGCGCCGGCATTTCTGATTGAGTAGGTCTGCAGGGAGGGGCAGGGGCTTCTTCACTTCTAATCAGTTCCTAGCTGATGGCACTGGTTCAGATGCCACACTCTGAGAACCCATGAGCTCAGGTAACAGGGCACCTGGCTGCTTCTGGGTTACCTGTGGCCTCTGGGCTGGCTAGTTATAGGTGATACCCCACTGGCTAATTTTAACTTGGAGACTTTTAGAGAACCGAGTCCTGTTTTGGTGGTTCACTGGTTAACAGCCTGGTGGGCTGGCTTCCCCAGCGCTTCTCATCAGTCTCAGGGCTGTGCAGCTGGGCCCTTGCACATATGCTGTGGGTTCTGAGATTGCAGCCCAGAAACACCCCACAGTTGAGCTAAAATGACTGGTTTTTGTCAAATGTGACTTTGGGTTTTATTTTTTTGGTACTTGATTTTTTTTCTACTGAAGAACTTCATGATCCTTCTAATTCTTACCCTAGAAATCAAAGTTAACTTAGTAGCTTAGGTAGAGTTTCGTTTCCTAGGATGATTTATTTTATTTATGTTATGATATTTTTGGGATGGAGTTTTGCTCTTGTTGCCCAGGCTGGAGTGCAGTGGGGCAGCCTTGGCTCACTGCAACCTCTGCCTCCTGGGTTCAAGAAATTCTCCTGCGTTAGCCTCCCTAGGAGCCGGGATTACAGGTGCCCACCACTACACCTGGCTAAGTTCTGTATTTTTAAGATGATATTTCACCACATTGGCCAGGCCGGTCTTGAACTCCTGACCTCAGGTGATCCATCTGCGCTTCAGCCTCCCAAAGTGCTGGAATTACAGGCGTGAACCACCGCGCTGGCCGTATGATTTATAAGAGAGAAAAGAACCTCTGTGGAAGTGAACTACATTATTCCAGAATACCTGGTCAGAATAAGAGCTTTCTGCAGGCAGCAGAAAGATGTTCTAAAAATCACTTGTTCAAAAATGTGTTGCTGTTAAAATGTTCATATGACCAAAATGTGACAAAACCACTGATGTGCTTCTGACAGGATTCCCTTGGAAATGTCTGAGAAGTGGTGTAAGGTTCTTCTGTTTAGAAGCCTGCTTGTCAGAGCCGTTAAGCAGGGCGGCCTGGCCACGTGCCCTTGGTTACGTGCAGTTGTTTGTCCTTGTGGCCTCCACGGCATCTCTCCGTTCTTCTTTCTTTGCATCTTCCTGCATGGATATTCTGGTGCGCTAACATTTTGTCCCAAAAATGAGACCTTCACCTGGCCTTTTAAAGCATCAGCCCTGGGTTCCCCAGGCCTCTGCAGGGTGAACTGTTCTTCCCTTAGAGACTCCCCATCTTTGGGGTGCACAGACGCTAATCCCAGAGCCATGGTCTGTCCCCAGGTGATGACAACGGGAAGAAGGCCAACAACCCCAACCACTGCAACTGTATCATAGACCAGATCTTCACCGGTGGGCTGCAGTCAGACGTCACCTGCCAAGTCTGCCAGTAAGTGAGAGGCTGTGTGCTCCGCAATGTCAGAAGCCTCTGGGGCGGTGCTGGCGTCCTCAGTCTCCAGAGCTGTGTGTGCTCTGAGAGGTCTTTATGGGGGCTACAAGAGAAATAATTAACAGACGCCCTGAGAGTGAAGGTCATGTGGTGGGGCTGCTTCCTCTTGGGGAGGTCCTGGGACTATGTCCTTTGGGATGTGAACCCTTCGTGTTGAGGTCTTGGCTGTTGTCTGCAGCCAGCGGTGTGTTCTTGGAAGCTTGGAGAAATGGTGGGGGGAGCTTACAGTCTTCCAGTCCTTGAGCAAGGACCGAATAAAATAGTCCCTTTCAAGAAGGGGCGGATCATGAGGGCGAATTGTTTACATACGTGCTTTGAAGTGTGTTAGTTTCATTGTTCTATGGCTTCTGGTTCCATTTTCTCTTATGTGGTGGCCCTAATTCTTTTCAGGTGTGGTCTCTGCTTAGATCCCCAAGTGTTGAATGCAGGAGGAACCTACTGCTTTGTTAGGTCTGAGGGACCTTCTCACCCCACCTCAGTGCATGCTGCTGGGTTTTCTTTCAGTTTTTTTTTTTTCAGGCATGGGGTCTTGTTATGTTGCCCAGGCTGGCCTTGAACCCATGGGCTCAAGCAGCCCTCCCTCCCCAGCCTCCCACGTAGGTGGAACCACAAGCGTGGGCCACCATGCCTGGCTCTGTTCTTTACTCCCTGGACATGATCCACCAAAATTATTTCAGAACCTGAAATGGATTGCCACTTGTGATCTGCATAAGGCCTGCGAATACTGGGAAAGGCCAGTGCTGCCTGTGTCATGGGTTCCATTTTCTGTAAGGGGGCCTGGCTCTGAGCATTAGAAACCGAGCTTGCTCCGAGCAGTTTGGACCTCCTCACTGGTCCTTAACTACTGAATTCCGTTAGCAGGAGACTGTCTCAGATTTAAATCCTGTATAAATATCAAGAGTACATTTCCCAGTCTGCAAGTTTTCGTCTTTTGTATTGCTAAATAAATTTCTAGTGAGGAACTGGCTTTGTGAGATGCAGCATTGAGTGTCCAGGGTGGGGCTGCCGGGGCTGGCTCAGGCACGCTCTGAGGTGTGCGTGGAGGCCTCCTGTGTCGCCTAGGGTTGCAGGCCCCAAGTTCTAGATGCAGCTGAGATACATCTAGATGCAGCTGGATTCAGAGCCTCTGACGGGACCCATGAGTTTATCCTCCTCCCAAGTCCCTCAGTGACTGTGATGGTCTCCAGGCTGGATAGCCCTTGTTTGAGGAGTGCCTCTTGCCTTCGGGTTCACACATACCCCTACCCAGGGCCACCTTGGGAGCCAGGACACGTTGGGTGTGAGCAGTGCTGCTTTCGCTCCTGCCCCATCCCACCTGAGTGTCACTACGGCAAAGGGCACAGTGGGTAAGGGGAAGGGGTGGCTTCCACCCCGGGCTGCCTCTGGAGCTGGGCAGGTGTCAGTCCTCACAGCCATTGTTTTCCTTCTGCTTCCAGTGGAGTCTCCACCACCATAGACCCCTTCTGGGACATCAGCTTGGATCTCCCCGGCTCTTCCACCCCATTCTGGCCCCTGAGCCCAGGGAGCGAGGGCAACGTGGTAAACGGGGAAAGCCACGTGGCGGGAACCACCACGCTCACGGACTGCCTGCGACGGTGAGAACCCTTCTGCACCCACGTGGCAGGGGCATGTCTTCCTGGCAGGGAGGCTGTGCTTCATCAGGACCAGAGCAGGGCTCTTTCACATGCCCAGGACACAGCCTGAGCAAAGATGCGGCATGCACCTGGGCTGGCTGCGGTCTCTGGTGCTGGTTTGTCTTTTGTTGCGGCTGAATGACTGGATATTTCTGTCCCCCAGCTTTGCACGATGTTGGGCGTTGGCGTCAGCAGCTGCTGTTCCAACCTCCTCTTGTAAATGAACCCAGAGCCAAACTGGATGCTCCCTCAGCCTTTGTGGTAATCACCTACCCCGGAGTGTGAGCTGAGAAGCGCCTGGCCCTCTCCCGTGGCCCACAGCCTTCTCTGCATGTGATTAAAACTTAGTTGTGATGTTCTGCACTTAGGGCAATTTTTGAAATTATGCATTCGCTGCTTCATTTGGGATAAGTAATAAAATTTACAAAGTGATTTTTTTTTTTTTTTTTCTTGAGACATAGACTTGCTCTGTTGCCCAGGTTGGAGTGCAGTGGTGTGATTTCTGCTCACTGCAACCTCTGCCTCCCGGGTTCAGGCGATTCTCCTGCCTGAGCCTCCTGAGTAGCTGGGACTGCTGGCATGTGCCACCATGTCTGGCTAATTTTTGTATTTTTAGTAGAGTCGGGGTTTCACCAAGCTGGTCTTGAACTCATGATCTCAGGTGATCCCCCACCTTGGTCTCCCAAAGTGCTCACAGGTGTGAGCCACCATACTTGTGAGC